AAAGAGACTGGACAAAAATCGTGCACCTATGGATGAGGACAGTGGGTGGGGAGTGAGGGCGGAGGGTGGGGTGGGAACTGGGAGGAGGGGAGTTATGGTGGGAAAAAAGAGGAACAAATGTAATAATCTGAACAATAAAGATTTAATTTAATAATAATAAAAATAAAGAACCTAGAGACAGAAGAACTTCACTGGAGAGAACATGGGAAAAGATCCTGGACAGAAACTGGAGACAGAACCTAGAGACAGAACCTAGCAAGAGAACATGGCAAAAGATCCTGGACAGAAACTGGCCACAGGACCTAGAGATAGAACCTAGCGAGAGAACATGGCAAAAGATCCTGGACAGATACTGGCCACAGAACCTAGAGACAGAACCTAGCGAGAGAACCTGGCTGAAGGACCTAGAGACAGAACCTGGCTACAGAACCTGGATAGAACATGGCAAGAGAACCTGACTAGAACCTGGTGACCGAACCTGGCTGGAGAACCTGGACAGAACCTAGCGAGGGAACATGGCTACAGAACCTGGCTGGATAACCTGGCTGGAGAACCTAGCAAGAGAACATGGACACAGAACCTGGCTGGAGATCCTAACCAGAACTTTGCTGGAGATCCTGACCAGAACTTGGCTAGAGATCCTGGCTAGGCTGCTGATCAACTGAACACTGTCTCCGTGTCATTCCTTCTTCACCGACTCTGTCCACACCTTTGGGGATCCCTGTACCTGCTGGGGTTGGACCCCAACAAAAAATGAAGAATGAACTAGAGGGAATAAATAGCAGGTTAGATGAAGCAGAAGATCAAACCCATAGTCTGAACACAAGTTAGGAGAAAATAACTATTAAAAAATTAACCAAAATAGTTACAAAATCAAGAATACTAATATTTGCATCATAAAGGTACCAAAAGGAGAGAAGAGAGAAAAAGTGATTAAAAATCTCTTTGAAGAAATAATGACTGAAAACTTCTCTAACCTGATGAAGGAAATGCACATACAAGTCCAATAACTTCAGAGAGTCTCAAACAAGTTGAACCCAAAAGGCCCACACCAAAACATATTATAATTTAAATACCAAAAGTTAAAGAAAAAGAGAGGATCTTAAAAGTAGCAAGAGCCAGACTGGCATGGCCAAGTGGTTAAGCATCAAACTATGAACATGGAGGTCACGATTCTATTCCCAGTCCTGGCACATGCCCAGGTTGTGGGCTTAATCCTCAATTGTGGGCATGCAGGAGGCAGCCGATTGATGATTCTCTCCCATCATTGATGTTTCTGTTTCTCCCTCTCCCTTCCACTCTGAAATCAATAAAAACATATAATATTTTTTTAAAAGAAAAAAATAATAATTTTTAATATTTTACAACAGCATATTAACATTTATTCCAAACAAGCTTACAAACTAATTGTTTGGCAGGAATTTAATAAAAACATAAAAGCATTTTATCCCTTCCACTGTGTGGAAGGCCCCCTGGGAAGGCACTTAAGCATTCTATATTGACCTCTCTTGACCCTTTTTACCAAAGGGGGTCTCTCTTCCAATTGCCCACAGCTGTTACCTAAGCTCTCTGTTCATACTGAGGTTGAAGCCTCATGGTGGCTGGTACCATGGATCTGTCTCTTGCCCAATGGCGTAAGCTGGGCCCTCTCTAGAGAAGAAATCTGGGTTCTCCATGATCAATGCCGGGGCCCCGCCAGCAGGCGAGGGGATTCAAAGGCAGTTACTGGGCATGGAGGCCACAGGGGCATACGCTACCAAGGAGACAAAACTAAACCTCACATCACCCTGCTTGGCCCCGGAGGATGGCTGGTTAGTCAACGACAGGTAAGACCCCTCTGGGAGGGGCAACCTAAGACAGGCACAGTCACAGGGGGCCTCAGGGGAGAACTTGGGGGTCAGCAGAGGTGGGGCAGAGATCCTCACCTCCCCAACTATGCAGGGGCTTGAACACTCGCGGAGGTCTCCTGCCCCCATGGCTGCTGCGCTTCCCATGCCCAGCTCAGATCAGGACCCAGATAACAGAAAGAGACTTAGCCCAGCCGAGATTGATACCCAGATAACAGAGACTTAGCTAACAGCAGCTACCCTATATATAAATCTAGCTTAACACCAGGAATGCTCAGGGCCTTCTCAAGGATGCAAAATAATCCTTTCCATTAATATTTACAGTATAAACTAAGATTGTTATTAAAGTATTAAATTTAACAGTAAAATAGTAGTCAAGTTTTCAGATTAATTAAATTTTACTAATTAATATAAGTAATTATTCATAAAGTATTAGCCAAAATTTTCATTTCATGGACAAATTGCTTAACATACTATAAACCTAAAGCAGTCATATTTTTATACAAAAATTAAAATTTAAAGTTATCTAGACTGCATTATATAATTTCCAAAAACCTCCTAATATTAAAAAATAAAAAAGGAGGGATAGTGGAATAATAACCTGTTAAGTAAATGATAACCTGTTAAGTAAATGCCTTAATTGCTTTAATATTTTTACTTGAAAATTAATTTTTTCATTTATAATGCTAATAGCAAGACACCCATGAAAATATACATGGTGTCAAAATAAGCCAAAGGAAAATCGTTTGGACAAAATTTAAAAGAATCCCAAGTCTAAATTATAGATATGATTCCTTTATTAACCTTTGGTCGAGAATACATTTGTATATTTTCAGAAAACAACTCCAAGACCATGTGAATTCCTGCAACAGAGAGGAATTATCAGGACTGCTCCAGCCACAGAATAGCAGTGGCCTCATGAGACAACAAGAAGAGAAGCAGTCCAGAAATAAAGATGGTGAAGATGCCTTATCATGCTAGCAGTCAGCAGCTGTGCATCGCTGCAAGTTGCCCAGGACCAAACCAGAGAGGGTCGGACCTGCATTGCCACCATTTGTCCACCATCCAGAACTGAAATATTACTGCTGACATTTACACATAAAAAACTGTCAGACACTGAAACATGAACTTCGCCTAAAAAACAAAGAAGGGGGATCTGTTGGGGGCCAGATGTAAGCTGGCAAGGTCCTTGCACCTGAAGGGGCTAGCAAGGCTGGGACCCTTACCCACACAGTTTTCCCAGACTTTTTTGGATGGTGATTATCAGTAGAATGGGAGTAACATTTGTAGAATGAGAACAGCCTTTCATAGCTTGCCAAGAAGTCTATAACTATTTACTGAGATATGCTGTACTGAGAACTTGTCCTTCTGCTGTATCTCTCCCTCAGAGATTAAGAGGAACAAAGAATACATTCCTCTTGACAGACCTCCGATTCAGTGTGTTGTGTATAAATAGGATTGTATAGCTAATAAACTCGCTTCAGTTCATTGAGAGAACTGGGGTCCTCCCGACCCCACTTTCCTGTCTTTCTTTCTTTTCTCAATTCCCACCTCCCTGCCTCAGCCCGGCTCAACCCTGTCAGGCTGGCCCTGACAGATACCAGGGTCTCCCAAGGCCCAGTCTGTTTCCTTTCCAGCCTCTCACCTCCGCCCCTACTTTGCACCTGTATGTTTTGCAATTCTTTCTCACAGTGTCCACACTCCTTCACCACTGTCCCTCTGCTTGCAAAGGCCCCTTTGCCAGTGTGTCTTAGCTTCTTTGACCCAACTCTTACCTTTGAACACTCCGTTCAAGAACCACTTCCTCCAGAACACTTTCCCTAACTACTCTCTGGTGTCATCTCAAAATCCACCCCTCAATCCCAGAGCATGCTGTGCACACACATTCACCTCTTATCATTCACCATCTCCACATTACATTGCCATGAACTGCTTCTACCGCTGGCTAGACCTAGCTTTTAAGAGCAGAAGTTATATCTTATTAATCTTGGTAACCCCAGTGCTTCACCCTGTGCCTAGCAAATCAAGTGTACCCAAGTATTTAACTGAAAACCAGTAGAAAAGTCAAGTGAAAATGTACAGTTGAATAAAGTCTTGCCTAAAAGGAAGGAAAGCACAGGTCTACAAATCTTTAGTTCCAATTCCAAAGTCCCTAAAGCTTTCAAACAGAACGTGTTTTTTTGTTTTTTTTTTCATAAAACTCACTTGGTGGTAACTGTGACCTGATCTGAAGTTTTGTGGGGTTCATTTATCCCACTTTGAGAAAATGTTCACGTTTTATCGAGGAATATTATGGGTTTTGGTAAGGGGTTGGGAGGAGTGGTTAACAGGAAGGGATCCCTTAGGTGGCTTCTCACCTCCTCAGCAGCAGCCCGCAGTGTGTCCAGATGCCGGCCAGTGATGTACACGGTGGCACCTGCTTGGCAGAGCTGCAAGGCGATGCCGCGACCGATTCCCCGGGAAGCACCAGTCACCACGCACACTTGGCCCTTCATGGCAGCTGCCATGCTTACTCACAAGCAAAGGGGTAAAAATCTGTGGAAGCAAAGATTTGCTCTGAGGGAAGCCTGCAGATAGTTGAGGGGGACCCCGGAGGGTGGTAGGAGGAGGAGCCATGGTTGCGATGCTTCAGAGGGAGACACCTGGGTCCAGGCCCAGGGCCAGGCAGCTGTCCGTTTGGGGACGCCCAAGTGAAGAAAGGGGCGGGTGGGGCTGTTCAGGGCAGGGCACCTACTGGGACTCGGAGTGAGGCTGGCTGGGCCCTCCAGTCCCTGGCGCAGCGTCCACGCCGAGCCCTGGGCTATCTGAAGTTCTGGCCCCGGCCTGGCCCAGTCAGGCCGAGCCCCACGCGGGTGGCGCGGGTTCTGGGGTGGGGGGGTGAGCCAAGGACGGGGACGCTGAGCCCTAACTGGGCGGAACTCGCGTCTGTTACCTGCCGCCCGCGCCGCTCCCGGAGACCTGCCTCACCTGGCTGCCAGGTTCTCCAATGGCGAGCTGCGACTGCGGCGGGGTGTACACTCGCCCCGCGCGGGGGCGGGGCCAGGCTGGAGACGGGGCGGGGCCTGGCGGGGGCGGGGCCAGGGCCGGGCTAGAGACGGGGCGGGGCCTGGCGGGGGCGGGGCTGTCGGGCCGTCGCGGGCCTATGACGTTAGGCGCCCTGAGCGTCGCGTCCCCACCCTCGCCTGGAGCCAGACCACCTGGCGGATAGCGCTCACGTCGCCGCCGCGGCAGCTTTCGCGGGCCGACCGGGACCGGAGCACCCATGGGGCTGGGGCCGCGCTCCCCCCACAAGGCCGGGCGCCGTTTCAAGGCTGGTGGCAAACGGGGGCGCGGTGCCAAGGTGTTGGGGCGCCCCTCAGGCCGCGAGCGACAGCCCTGCCCGCCCCCGGACGGGCGCTCGCCGCCGGCTCTGGACGCGCACCCTCACTTGAGCCCCGAAGCGCTGGGGTACTTCCGCCGGGCGCTGTCGGCGCTGAAAGAGGCCCCGGAGGCCGGAGAAGAACGAGGTGGGTGGGCTCTTCCGGGTGGGACCAGGAGAGGGGTTTGCTGGGCATAAAATTCAGTGCAGGCAAGGACCTTATGGTGGGTTCCCAGGGCGTGGGGACTGTTTCATCTCCCGTGTCCTCTTCCTCGCTCCCAGCCCCTGGGCTAAGTGATGGAACATAACCTCCTCTCAGTCTCTTTAAAATATTTTGTGAAATAAGCCAGTCAGAGAAAGATAAATATCACATGATCTCACTCATTTGTGGAATATAATGAACAACACAAACTGATGAACAAAATAGATCCAGAGACAGATGCATCGATCAGACCGTCAAACCTCAGAGGGAAGGTAGGAGAGGGTGGGGGTAAGAGGGAGAGATCAACCAAAGGACTTGTATGCATGCATGTAAGCCTAACCAATGGACACGGACACCAGGGTGGTGAGGGCATGAGTGGGGGGGGGGATGGGATTAATGTGGGGATAAGGACACATGTAATAACTTAATCAAAAAATAAAAATAAGTAAATAAATAAAATATTTCTTTGTCTTCCCAGAGCTGATGGTGCACAATGTTTTGAAGGAAGTGGAGGCTCAGGCCCTCGCCTTGGCCACAAACAGGACTGGCAGTGAGATGCTGCAGGAACTGTTGGGGTACAGCACCCTGAAACCTCTGTGTGGAGTATTGGCTGCTCTGCGCCCCAGCTTGCGCTCTGTGGCCTGTCACCGCTGCGGGGTCCACGTATTGCAGAGCGCTTTGCAGCAGCTGCCCCGATTGTTGGGGAGCTGTGCAGAGGAGGAGGCAGAGGAGGAGGAGGAGGAGGTGCCTCCCTTGGAGACCCTGGAGGAGCTGGTGCTGGGACTAGCCTCTGAGGTGTGTGATGATTTCCTTTTCTACTGTGGAGACACACATGGCAGCTTTGTGGTCAGAACTCTGCTGCAGGTGTTAGGAGGGACTCTTCTGGAGCCCGAGAGAGCCAGACACCGGGGCTCCCGGTCACCTGGTAAGTATTACAGGAGAGGGAAGTGGGCCGCGAGGAAAGGAGAGTTTAGGAAGTTCAGGAGGAGATGGTGGCAGAGGAGTAAGTCTTCACAACCTTGAAGAACTAACAGAAGTTAGGACAGGGTTAGCTGGCCAAAGATTAGTGTGCTACAGAGGCCCAGAGGCAGGGTGTGTTTAGGGAAAGCTAACCATGACTCATGTACATGTGGATGTAGACACATACTGGATGTAAGCAAACGATCAGGAAATAATACCCTTACTACATGCAACCCACTCTAATATTTTCTTTCCTTTTTTATTCTGTTCTATTCCATCACAAAGGTGCTGGTTGAGACCCATGGAATTGATTTCGTGATTCATTCATAGGCAGTGACCTACATTTTTAAAAACTGGGAAATAAGGTTAGAGAATTTAGATAAGGCCTGATTTTGGGAACATTTTGAATTTCTGGCTGAGGAGTTTGGACAATCTCCCATGGTCCATGGGAAAGCTGGTTGAAGTGTCTCAGACAAATTGAAACAGAAATGTGGTCTCGAGTCCATCATCTAGATGGGAAGAGAAATTCAGTTGTGTTCTGCATTTCTAAGCTAAACCCTTGTTCATCTCTGCCAGCGATTTTCAACCGGTGTGCTGTGACACACTGCAAGAATATTTAAAACATGTGATACCTGTTACTTAGTCAGGGGCACTGACCTCTTTTCCCTTAGATTGTCAAATAAAAAAAGGCACCACCTAACACAACAATAGCTGTCCAGTGTGACTGAATCAAAACTTTACTTATATTTTTGTCAGTTGGCAAAATACATTTTTTCTGGTGTGCTGCAGAATTTAGTAATTCGTTTATGGGTGCGATGAAATGGAAAAGGTTGAAAATTCCTGACCTGTGGAATTCTTCTCCCTCTGGCATGGTTTTTTTGTGGTCTTGCCACTTGATCTTCCTTCAGAAGCACAAAGAACTCCAGCTCGGGAATGTAAACCAACTGATTTTGAGGTTCCTGAATCCTTCTTGAATTGTCTTCAGGACCTGAGCTCCTGCTTTCTGAAGGACATTGCTGGTAAGGAGGGAAGTAGGAGGAGGGTCTACTTTTCTGGAGGTGATTATCTTCAAATAAGGCTCTTATTTAGATCAGTCTTCTTTTCACATCTGATCTGATTTGTGTTGCAAAGACTTTATAGACCCTTTTTCCATGGTCCCTTGTCCCTTGTTTGAGGTTGTACAGGTCGTCTGGATTTTGGGAAAGCTGCTTTTATTATCTCTGCTCTCTCACAACAGTGTTTATCACTGACAAGATCTCCAGTTTCTGCTTTCAAGTGGCCTTACAGATCTTACACCGCAAAGTGCCCCCGTTGTGTGCCCACCTCTGTAATGCTGTGATTGACTATCTGAGTAACCGCAATTCCTCAGCAGATGGCAGGTAAGGTCTGGCCTCCGGATTGGTCAGGATTGATGGGGTGTGCATGATAAATGAGGTGTGTAGGTATCTTGGATGGAGTGGAGTTAAAACTTCCTTCTTGTCTTCAGCCCCCTACTGCTATTTCTGCGGGATCAGACGAGCTCCAGACTTCTGGAGCAGGTGCTGCTGGTGTTGGAGCCCCCGAGGCTCCAGAGCCTTTTTGAGGATCACTTCCAAGGGCAGCTGCAGACCATGGCTGCACATCCTATTGCCAACTTCCCTTTGCAGCGTTTACTAGATGCTGTCACTACCCCTGAGCTCGTGAGTCGGGAACTTGGCTGGGTCTGTGTCTGTACGCTGTTGCTTCTACTAGTTCTTGTTCATTGGGCCTTATGTATGGTGTGCCTATCTCTGACTGTGTGCTGGCTCTTCCCCTTAAAAAGTTATTCCTGGGAGTTTCCCAGAGCATAGGGTGAGGGTGTCTTCTTCCCAGAAAGGATTTGTTTTGGCTTCTCTCAAACGCCAATACCAACAGGAAACTGACTTAATCCAGGTTAGCAGCTTGAGGTTCCATGGCCCACCCAGACTGGGCACTTGACTACAAATCCAGAAAGTCCTGACATTGGCCATGCTTTTTGTCTTATCTAGCATCTTTAGTTGTTTTTGGCAGAAAGATTTCTCTGAATAACTTAGCCCAAATGCCAAAGATTCTTTACCCCATGTCTCCCCTCAGCTGTCCCCCGTATTTGAGGAGCTGAGCCCTGCCCTGGAAGCTGTGCTGGCACAGGGTCACCCAGGGGTAGTCATTGCCCTGGTGGGAGCCTGCCGCAGAGTTGGAACCCACCAAGCCCAGGTTCTGCAGCTGTTGTTAGAGGTGAGTGGGTGTTACTTGCAACCCATTTATGCCCTTGGTTCAAATTCTGTCTCTTAAGACTTATCGAATCTTTGGTCATTGTATCTCTGGCCCCAAGAGAGTTAATGCTCAGGGAGTTCATAGATAACAAGGGGAAATGAGGCCAAAGCCATCTCACAGCCCTAGAATGAAAAATTGTCTCCCAGAACAAAGAGAGAAGTTTATTGAAGGAATAAATATTTATTGACCCCTGTTATATGTATAGAGGCTGGGGATACAGCAGGGCAGACGAGATCCTGTCCTCATGCAGCTTATATTCTTGTGAAGTTAAGGCAGTCTCACCACTCCTGAATGCTTTCCCTAGTCTAGAAATTCAGGGTTAAAATCGGTTCTCAGATTCATTATGTTTTGTCTTCTCATCTAGGCATTCCACTGTGCAGAGCCCTCTTCCCGGCAAGTGGCCTGTGTGCCTCTCTTTGCCACTTTGATGGCTTATGAGGTGTACTATGGACTGGTGGAGGAAGAGGGGGCAGTGCCTGCGGACCACCAGGTGAGGTAGGGGAAAGGCCAAGCCAGTGACTGATTGGGGACCAGGTCTCCCGGGGCTTAGGGAGCCTCTCACCACAGAGGTGAAGGTGGTGAGATCTCTGGCTTCATCCAAGTGGAGGTGGCATTTTGGTGGCTACCTCCTGATTTCCTATCCCTGTCTTCAGGTTGAAATGGGCACAGCCAGGGCCCTGGGAGAAGTGACAGTCCTCGGATCTCTACTGCTCCAGCATCTGCTGCACTTCTCCACTCCTGGCCTTATACTTCGAAGTCTGGGTGCCTTGACGGGACCACAAGTTCTGACTCTGGCCCAAAGTCCTGCTGGTTCCCATGTGCTTGATGCCGTCCTGACCAGCCCTTCTGTGACGCGCAAGCAGCGCCGCCGTGTGCTTAAGACCCTAAAGGTTAGACTCAGGCTTCTGCTTTGATTCCTCTACCATTATCTATTTAGAGAACATGAGCTTCCCCCGGACTGTCTTTCCTAGACTGTTTTGACTCAGTCTTTAAACGGAAACTCCATTCCCTCCTGCCCTCCCCAGCATATTTTCAAGAACTGCCCTAGAGGGACCTACCTTGTCTGTCTCAATGCAGGGACAGTATGTGGCTCTGGCTTGCAGTCGCCATGGCAGCCGTGTGTTAGATGCCATCTGGAATGGAGCAGCCTTGGGGGCCCGGAAGGAAATTGCTGCTGAGCTGGGTGAGTACCGGCAGGTCTCTCGGACCTCCAAACTTCCCTTTCCTTACTCCAGTAGCCGGGTGGCTGGGGGATGGATTTAAATTCAGCAGAGACTTCAGTTGCAAAGGGTGACTTGGCCATGGTGCTTAGCAGCCTCCTCTCCCCTTCCCTCTGTTGATTGTGCAATTCTGTGTTCTTACCCCTCCTCCCAGTTTGTTCTTTGGAGAATGAGGGGTTAACTCTATCTCAAGGCAGACCCAGGGTCCAGGTAAAATGGAGAGACCTTCACCCCAAGTAGAGTCTCTTCAAGCATAGGTGGTGACTGCATGCTGATACTGAACATGAATGGTTCCCTTTGCAGGAGAGCGGAACCAAGAGCTGATAAAAGACCCTTTTGGCCACCATGTGGCTCGAAATGTGGCCCTGACTACCTTCCTGAAGCGTCGAGAAGCTTGGGAACAGCAACAGGGGGCAGTGGCAAAGCGGAGGCGGGTTTTGAACTCAATTCTTGAAGACTGAGGCCTTGAGATCTGGGACTGGGTGTTGATGGGGGAGGAGGAAAGGGCATATTTATCCTGTTCCCTTACTAATTTAAATCGAAGTCATTGAAGTCAAAAGTTTTATTGGTAAACATTTTTATATTTGTATTGGAAATGTCTTTGTTATTCTTGGGGGGGAAAGGTATGGAGAAATAGAGATCTCAAGGTAAAGTTCAAGAGGGCTGTCTTCAGTGCTCTGGGGAGCTCAGGGAGAGGAGGAGTTGTAGGAACTCTAGAGGCAGCAGCAATCAGAGTGCTATCAAGATGCCTGGGGCAAGGTTGTGGATTTCAGGGTAGGTGGGAGGCTGAAAAGATGGTTAAGAAGGGACAGCATTCTTCAGGAATGGGTATAGGCTAGGGGTGTAAGGCACTATGCTGATGGGGTCAGAGGGCAGTGGGAAAACCAGGTGAGTTATCTAGTCTGCACTATCTGCGGGTCCCTAAACGGGATGTTGTCACAGTCCCTACAGCCATCTCCAGGGGCAGAAGCTCCGAGCCCCTTCTCAGTAGTGATGGAGATGACCCTGCTGCTGCCACTGTGTAGCTCCTTCTACTACATGGCGAAGGGTAGAGGAAATTCCCAGCAGCATATGGCCCAGGCCTTGCAGTAGTGTGGAGGTCCATCGGAGCAACTCCCTGAAGGGCAGAGACAAGAGGCAGTCAGATGGCCGGGAGAAAGCCATAGAGCTGGTGGGGAGGGGGAGGGTGGGGGCTCTCCATAATTGAGAGCTAATGGGTTAGGCCAGTGCAGGAGAAGGAATTATGGGACTGAAACTGTGGGGATGGGGAAGTAAAACATTTTGGTCTCTGACCTGAGTACTTTCTTCGGGCCAAGTCCTTGAAAGTCACAACTCATGGAGTAGAGCCCATAGAATGTGGCTTTGACGTTCAGGCTCCCAAAGAGGTCTCGAGGGTTTTGCTTGTACACGTCAAAGGTGATGCGGGCGATGTCCTTGCTGTGCTTGGGCTTCTCCCGGCCCAGGCCATAGGACAGCATCCCACTCTGTAGAACACCCCCGTGAGTGCAATGGCCCCTCACACCCACCACTAAACCCCATCAGTAGTGGGACAGACCCACCCTTGCCTGGACTGGTAGTCCACCATAAGGTGTCTTTAAAAACTCCTTACCTCTATCATCACTCCTGCCCTCAAGATGAGGGTTAGGCAGGAGGAGAGGCTTGGGAGAGAGAAAGGATTGGTGGCCTATAGCAGCCCAGTACAGGCCTCACCCTGCTGGGACTCCAGCTCTGCCCAGACTCCAGCACCATCAGGCATGTGTCATCCTCCAACAGCTGGAAGAAGTCTTCGCTCTCCACGGCAGTCCCATCCTCCTCTAGCACCAGGGTTAGCACTCCGCTCAGCAGCAGCGTCTCCAGTGCCTGCCCAGTGGCAAGAAGCAGGAGGGAAATGGCAGAGCTTGTCTCATGCCTTCCCTCTCCAGCTGCCCAGCATCCACTGGTTGGCCCAAGACACTGGTTGCTATCCCACCTCTACTTCCTGGTGTTTTGCCATCCCTTCAAACAGCTCCACCTCTCAGTGTTCTTTCACTGGGGGACCCTCACTAGGAGCTGACCTTTCTTCCTATTTGCTCCTGCTTTGCTCCTACCATGTCATTGTTATTTCCCCCTGCTTCCCTCCAAGCCACTCCTGATTAGGAATTGGAAAGCTAGCCAGGCTCCCTTGAAATCCATCTTTTGGGAATGGGCATAAGGCATTATGCTGATGGGGTCTGATGCAATGGAATCTTATCCCCCACCTCGCTTCCCTACCCCCTACATAGAGTTCTCCAGAGCCGTTTTCAGTAATAATGACAATCCTTTTGTCTTTACTAGTGCCAGATAGCACTTTACATACACTATCCTCTTTTACTTTCTTCAACAATCCAAGGAGGTGTATTATTACTCCCTTTTTATAGATGAAGAAATTGACATTTTGACTTTTCCCCAACCAGAGGGTAAATAGCTTAAATCACCCTACTTAAGGAGACAAATTCAATTAGTGCCATTTGCCAACCACACCCAAGGGCAGATGAAGTTAAGAGAATAAATTTCAATTTGGTAGATCAACATAAAGCTGATGAATATTCTATTGAGATCTGCCCCTAAGATCTCCCCTAAACATCCAACCTTTACAAACCCCTCAAAAATGAAGGCATCAGTGGGTGCTCTCCCTCCCAGGAGCACTCCAGGGCCTCCCTCCCGCCCCCCCCCCCCTTTCCCAACAGTCATGCATCTCCTAAACTCTAAGGGACCCCACCAGGCTTGCAAACAGGGCAGCAATGGGCAGTGGCAATTCATCCCAGGCAACCCCCCTGAACCTGTCCCCAAGGCCCCCTTTTCTCTGACTTCTTTTTTTTTTTTAATTTTTTTTTTTTTTATTGCTTAAAGTATTACAAAGGGTATTACATATGTGTCCATTTTATCCCCCCGCCCTAGACAGTCCCCTAGCCTCCCATCTCTGACTTCTTAGTGAGCCAAAGCAGACCAGCCCAGGCTCATTTCCCCAGGCCTTTCTTATTTCACATCCCCAGCTTTAATGTCCTCTAAAATTCAGAAAAGAAAGAAATTGACATTTTTATAGGTTAAATAACTTCCCAAGGTTTGACAAAAGGAGGTGACAGAAGCAGGACTTGAACTTGATTTGTCACACAAATTGCCAGTCCACACTGTCTTCTAAATCCTATCCCTCCAACCCTCCCTACTCCTTCCCCTATCCCCAAAGAAATGCCAACTCCTTGGGGGAAAAATAGATGGACCCAAATGCAGCAGAGATCACTGGGCTCACCTTCCTGCTTTAGTCTTCAGAAGGGGGGGTGCATAACCTCAGCCCTTTCTGCTGGTCATTCCAAGTTCTCACTCTTTTTGAGCCCCTTGGCTGCCCCTTGGATAGGAACCCAGGGACTTGGCTCACTCACCTTGTCTAGCAGTTCCTGGCGGGTGGCAGCTGTCAGACCTTTCCGCGTGGTCCGTTTGTGATCACAGACGCGGAAAGGTCGCTGTGGTGGTGGAGCTGAGGTCCAGACCCTACGGCCAAACTCAGAGCTCATATTGGATACTGACCTGGTAGTTGGGAAAAAAGGTCAAGGAGTGAGGGGTTTGCTGAGTGTAATGGAGATGATGCGGGTGGGGTGGCTGGAGTGTTAGAGAGTGAGGGATTTAGGTTTTTGGATTAGGGTAGCCTAGGGAGAGAGGGAGGGACAATGGAGTGGAGGTGGGTGGTAGAAGCTGGACAAGCCCACTGTGGAAAGTGGAGGGGGAGGGGAAAGGGGTACAGATTCACGAGTTTCCAAGGGGCGGAGTAGAGATTTGTTGCCCTGCCGCTATCCCCAGAGTTAGTGGAGAGGAAGATCAGTAATCACCTGACCAGGCTGCTGGGGCTCAGGGCAGAGAGGTACTCCATGGTGTAGGGAAAGAGCAGAAAAATTCTGGGCTGGGTTGTTCTCCGCTGTGCTGGGCTGAAGTGATGTTTACTGTTACAGAGCTGGGACCTCAGCCCCAGTGAGGTGGAGGATGAGTCAAGCCGGACTCTGGCCCCCTGGAGGGCCTGTAGGAAGGGCAAAGTCCCAGGGGAGGGAGAAGAGGAGGGGCCTAGATGGGGTCCTGGGAGAAGGATTAAGGCCCAGAGTTGCCAGGCAGAAGCCGGGGAAGCTTTGTGTGGATGTTGTCTCTGGTGGCAGCTTGTGATGTGAGGGTTAATGGTAACTACGTAAGAGGATGGCGATTGTCTTTGTACGGAGGGCATTTCTAGGTATAGAAGCTACAGTATGTGACTTGTGCTGTACATGCTGCCACCTACTGAAAACTCCATAAACTGCCGCATTAGGAAAAGGGAGGCGGGGCTGAGGGTGAGATCATGGGCAGGGCTTGGAGAAATGGGAGGTGAGGCAGTGTGTCTGGGTGGGGCGTAGAAGAGGATGGGTCCTGATCCATGGACCGCCAGGATCCTGTGGCAAGGAACTTCTTGCTTTCCTGCTCTTTCCTTCGTGGTCTAGGGGAGCAGATGGCTCAACATTTCCCTAATTTAATTCTGCAGAACTGCCTGCTTCAGCCACTCTGCATTTCTCACTTTTCTCCTTTGGCCACTTAATAAGCATGAAGGAGATGTGAAGAGGGAAGGGGGAGTGTCCTCTGATGGCATCAGGAATTTAGCTTCCGGAGCTCCATGTCCCATCCCTGATTTCAGCTGCAGTTGTGCTGGACAGTTGTGTGGAAGCTCAGACTCTCACTGACAATGAACTCACTTGAATGCGAGTCTCTGCTTTCCTGCCCAGAAGTCTCGTTTGCAGCTTTGGCAGCTAGTCTGCCTCCTGGCAAGTGCAGGCTACAAGTGTGTACAGGAGCGTCAATGCCTCCTTTCTCATTCTGTGCACTTCTTAGACATTCCTGATGCCTACTGAAGGAGTGCAATCATGCTCTTATTGGCTTTCCTCTTCCCTCTCTTCTCTCACTCCTGCTTCCCAAACTGTGTTGCTGTGTCTGAGTTTGTTTGTTTGTTGCTTCCTGTTTTATATCCGACATATGAGTGAAATCATATGGTTCTTGTCCTTTTCCATCTGACTTTCTTCTCTTCTTCTGGGACTTCCGTTACACTTCTGTTTGATCTCTAATATTATTCCACAGGTCTCTGAAGTTCTGTTCAGTTATATTTAATGAGTACCGGATTACCTGTATCATGTCCTTAACTCAGACTCTGCTTTGGGGGGAACCCAAATGGAGACAGTACTGGTGTCCTAGCTCTCAAAGAACCCCCAGTTCTGGCTGTTGACTGAGGGATCAACTTTATCAATGAACCAGGTCCCCTCAAATTTTTTCATTTCCAAGTTTTGCCTGACTTCTCCACCAGAGAAGGCTTCTTTTCAGCATGTCTCTACCACTACAACCTTTCCCTTTTTCTTGTCTTGTATATTGGTGCAGCCTAGTAATGTGGTCTCTTCATGGTTGTGTGTAACTCGTCAGCCAGGTTAGATGCTCCTTACACCTCCATGCATTCCCCTAGACCCCACAGGACTTAGCACCATGCTTTACACTGAAAGCGGTCATTGACAGCCCAGTGAGAGCCCCGAGGGTGGAATGACTGGGGCAGGGCCCAAGGCAAGAGGCAAGAGGGGTAGGTAGGAAGCTGAGGAAAAAGGAGGCTCAGCAGGGTCAGGAGTCTAGAAACAGGCAAAGAAAGAGCAGTAGGGAAAGTGAGTAGTTTGGGTCACCTTTCCTACTAAGTGCAGACCAAGGAGGCCAGAAAGCATAAGGCCGCAGGGTTAGGAGGGTTGGGACCAGAGCTGGGGGAGGGATCAGCACAGAAGCAGGACCCAGGTCAGGATTCAGCAGTGTCCCTACTCACCCACCTACACAGCCAGGGAACCTTATCTGCACCCCTTCAGCTTATCCTGTTTCCTGGGAGGCAGGACCTCACATGCCTGGACGAGTTAGTGATGAGAAGGAATATGGTGAGGGAGGGGCCCCGGGAAAGGCCCCACCTTGCCCCTCCCCATTCTCACCTCACCCTCTGCAAATCTGACAGGCACGGGACAGGAGTAGGCACCAAGACCTTTGCTGCTTTGCCTTGCAGCCTCCCCAGGTCCCTTGCGGGCCCCTCACCCTTCTAGCTCACAGCTGGGTAAGTAGATCTGCCCAAGGGCCCTTACTCACCACCTCTCACTTTTGCCCTGAGGTAGAGGGAAGGGGCTGGATAAAGAAGGGTAGAGGAGTGGAGGTGGAGGTGGTGACAGCCTGGGAGTCAGGACTGGGGAGCTCAGCTGACTGAGAGCAGGGGACCTGGGTTCCAAGAAGTAGTGTTTGAGTTGGGGCTGGGGTCCCAGAGGAAACCAAGGCTCCCAGACAGAAGAGAGGCAGGCTTCAGGGAAGCGAGGGGAGGCACAGTTTCTTCTCACCTGGCCTCAGGGGTAACGTTGGCTTTTGCCCCAGCCCCTGAATGCGCCCCATGGCCCTTTCCAGCCCCCTGTAGGTACAGAAGGATGACTGACTGCTACCGCCCCCCAGGGAACGAGACGCTGCTGAGCTCTCCAGCCTCACGGGCCACAGGCACTGCCTTCCTGCTGCTGGCGGCGCTGCTGGGGCTGCCGGGCAATGGTTTCGTGGTGTGGAGCTTGGGGGGCTGGCGGCCGGCGCGGGGACGGCCGCTGGCGGCCACTCTCGTGCTGCACCTGGCGCTGGCCGATGGCGCCGTGCTGCTGCTCACGCCGGTCTTTGTGGCCTTCCTGGTGAGGCAGGCGTGGCCGCTGGGCCAGCTGGGCTGCAAGGCCGTGTACTACGTGTGCGCGCTCAGCATGTACGCCAGCGTCCTGTTCACCAGCCTGCTCAGCCTGCAGCGCTGCCTCGCCGTCACCCGCCCTTTCCTGGCGCCCCGGCTGCGCAGCCCGGCCCTGGCCCGCCGCCTGCTGCTTGCCGTCTGGCTGGCCGCGCTGTTGCTCGCCGTCCCGGCCGCCGTCTACCGCCACCTCTGGGGGGACAGCCTGTGCCAGCTGTGCCACCCGTCGCGGGCCCACGCCGCCGTCCACCTGAGCCTGGAGACTCTGACCGCTTTCGTGCTGCCCTTCGGGGTGGTGCTCGGCTGCTACAGCGTGACGCTGGCGCGGCTGCGGGGCGCCCGCTGGGGCTCCGGCCGGCACGGCACGCGCGTGGGCCGGCTGGTGAGCGCCATCGTGCTGGCCTTCGGCTTGCTCTGGGCCCCCTACCACATGGTCAACATTGTGCAGGCGATGGCCGCGATGGCGCCACCCGAAGGGACCCTGGCGAAGCAGGGCGGTGCGAGCCAGGCAGCGAGAGCCGGAACCACGGCTCTGGCCTTCTTCAGCTCCAGCGTCAACCCAGTGCTCTACCTCTTCACCGCGGGGGATCTGCTGCCCCGCGCAGGTCCCCGCTTCCTCACGCGGCTGTTCGAGGGCTCTGGGGAGGCCCGAGGAGGCGGCCGCTCCAGGGAGGGGACCATGGAGCTCCGAACTACCCCTCGGCTCAGAGTGGTGGGGCTGGGCCTGGGCAACGGAGACCCCGGGGGCGGGGCGGCCAAGGACAGTCAGGAATGGGGCCCTTGACACCAAATCCTGCTCTTCCCTGTCCCCTTCCATCACCCCTCAGAACTCAGCACTCGGGGGCGTTTGGGAAGCCTCTGACCAGTTTGGAACTGTGGGGGCAGAATTATGCACCTGGGGCAGGCCCAGGTCCTCCAGACTGAGGGATTGCCAGGGGTGATGGTTCATGCTAATGAATATTGTGCACTTGCAGGTTGGCATGTGCCCATGTGCCAGAGCTGCTAATTTGTTGCCAATAGTCATTGTGAAAGACCCGTGCAGCCGTTACACCATGGCTTAAGTGTGCTCTCCCGAGGGTCAGCATGCCTGAGGTGTACTGAAGCCACCTGGTTTCCCTGCGGGGTCAGGACGGCTGGGCAGCGGCAGCCTTCAGTGGCATCTTGACCCGTCCTCCCCAGCTCGGGTGGCCTACTTCCCTCAGGCCATACAACCACTCTGTAAATCAAGGGAGAAAGAGGAAAGAAAGGTATGGGTGCTTGGGTGTGGGCTGCGGATGGGATCCGTTCTCTGGGGTCTATAAGAGCCAAGAAGGGGGTGGGGGTGGGGAGACTGGCCCTGGCAGGTGAAAGTCAATCTGTGGGATTGAAAGGAGAGTTTTCCTGTCTGCCTTGTGGTTGGTGCAGCGGGGGAGGGGCCCTGGGAGTCTGAGACTTAGCTTCCTCTTTGAATCCACCTCTCCCCCCCAAGGTCACCTGACTCAAAAGGAGCAGGCACTCACTTAGCCAGAGGACGTTTGGGGCTTGGGGATGAGGGAGTATGAGGAAGAGTGTGGGTGTCTGGAGGACAGGAAGAATTTTTCAGGGAGGTACCACCTCTCCTTTCTCCTTTTTCTCTCTGCCAAATCTTGACTCCTCCTGACGGCTAGCTGTTCCTCATCTGTCCTCCCCGATATTTCCCAGACCCCGTCTTTTGGAATTTCTTTACCTCTAGGCCTCAAAACTGTTCTGGATCCTGATACTTTTGTGTGTGTTTTTTGGATCCTCATACTTTTGAATTTGGGGTGCAGGATGGAATTCTTTTTAGGAGGACATCCACGTGCACACACATGTGGTTACTAGGGTGACCAACTCGCGGTTTTGTCAGTGGAAGCCTTTTATCCCGGTCTCCTAAGTCCCTGGCAAACCAAGATGGTTGTTAAGTTCTGGTCAACCTGACTGTTACCCCATGTTCTGCCTTAGTGACTGTTCACACCACCCAGGTAGATGCAGACATAGCAAAGGAAACCCAGTCCTCAGGGTCACGCCAGGGCCACCAAAACGGGTTGGGTTGGGGTTGGAGCTCTGGACTTGGGGGACAGGTATGCTTAGAGTGTCTAGTCTAGGGTGGAAGAAGGAAGGTCACTGACAGAATGGAAATGGGGAGCAGCTTGGGAGAGGAGGCAAAGACTGTCCAGTTTGTGTCAGAAGGAGCCTCTGATTGACCCCAGAGCTTCTTGCAGAGGCTTCCTCTTGTCCTCACGCATGGGGGAAGAGGGTCCCTAACTTCCTCTGTTACATATTTCCCGACTCACACACCCTCTGTGGTCAGAAAGCTCTTCCTCAACTCTGCCTGCTTGCTGTGGTTTCAGTCCATTTCTTTTCGTCATATCCTCCGCCTGACAGCTACTGGGTGAACTCTGCTCTGGCTTTTCTCAGAGCAGACAAAGTGGGGGCACTGCAAAGGGTGAGGAACTTCCGTGACCACTGTTACACTCTGCACATTTCCTGAGAGTGACAGAGTTGGAAGGGAAGCAGGAAGGCTCATGGTCAGATCAAAGGAAAGACTTCAGTTCTTAGTTTCTGCCGGAGAGTTCAAGAAGAGGAGAAAAGGGAAGAGTGACTCTTGCCATGGCCCTGGTTTCCCCTCTTGGCAGGGCAGGCATGAAGCACCATCTCCCTCACTCCCTCATGCCTGTTCCCTATGCTCAGCCTCTACTTCTATACGGTGAGACTGGACAGTGGCTGTGGGGAGGTAGGAAAAAGGCGGTGCTGACCTTGCCCAGTGCCCAGATCTTAAATCCAAACTCATATGTCAGGGTAGTCACATGGGCAAGCACAAGGCAAATGGTTGGGGGAAGGGGAAGAAACTGGCATTCTGTGTGATACTAAGGAGACCCTTTGGGCTTTGGCGTCTACCAAGAGAAGGGAAATTTGATTGCCCTAGAATGGAACCAACCCTTTTCAGTGAAGGGAGCGATTGGGGTGCTGGAAGAGGGACTTCTCCCTCCAATTCCACTCATGGCTTGAACCCAAGCCAAGAACAAGGTGCTGACCTCTTTAAGTCATGATGTTACAACCCAAACCTGGAACCTAACCACAGCTGTAACCTACATTTCCTATTACTCTAAAAATCTACTTGTTCATACAAATTATCGTATAAATATACTCAACATTCTGCCATCCCAATCCGAGCCAAATCCCCATTCTGGCTTCCCTCCCTCCTCCTCCTATATGACACAGGTTATTATTCTGTTCAATGATCCAGTCTAGACCTGCATATGAGGCCACACCCCAGCCTACTCACTCCTGCACCCCTCTTTCCCCTCTCCCTTCCCCTTCTTGGGCGCTTCTCATCTGGTCCCACCCCTGAGGGTCCTCCTTCCTACTGGCCTTTTCTAGAATACAAAGACTATCCTCCCTCCTACTGAAGGGAAGGGAGGGGGCAGGAGTTTCAGCCCCACCCTCAGGAAGATGTGTCTTCCCCCTGCCCTGTGGTACTTCCTCTCCGGCTGACTTAGCTGACAGTATCCAGACCTGGGTCCAGACCCCTGGCACCGAGACAGATCTGGGGATAGGCTACACCACTCTGCCCTGACCCTGGGATTGGCGCCAGCTTCCAACCAGTACCCAGCAAAGCCAGTAAGTAAGGACCCTGGGAGTAGGGGATTTGGTGGAGGGCTGGGGTGCAGCCATGAGAGAAGGTACAAAGGAATTTCCAAAAGAGCCTGACCAGTGGTAAAAGGACTTGGGAGGATTTGTCCTTCTCTCCTCTCCATGAGCTCCTGCCCGTCCCTGTTATTCCTGGTGGACACTGGGCATCTCTGGGAGAGTGGGTAGGGGATTGGAGGACACCAGTGGGACTGAGGGGACTAAGGACCTGGCAAAGGACAGAGCAGTTAGCCTTTTAAGGGGTGCCGCACTGTGAAGGAAATCTCCCCAGTTTGGCTCTGAATCTGAGGGTCTCCTAAGGGAAAGAGGCAGAAAGGGTCCAGACACGCTACTGCTGCTGTTGCGTTGTATTTTGCAATTGGGTCTGTGGGCAGGAAGGAGCGCTGTCGCTCAGTTAGGCAATTCGTCTTTCTACTCAGCCAGATCCCTAAGATAGGTTAGTGGGCAGTGACGAGGACAGTATATTGTGAAGGTGCACCTGATGCTGCCGATTTAGAGAAAGACCTGAATACTCAGGCTAGGTGTGTCCAGGGTGTCAGAAAGCCCTTGGATCCCTACCCTCATGCACATGTCCACCTCACCCTCCAGATCCTTGCAATGGCCACGAACACTACATCTCCTGCAGGACCCTCCTCCCTAGGTGTCATGGCTATCACCCTACTGTCAGTGGCTCTGGCGGTGGGGGTCCCCGGCAACAGTTTTGTGGTGTGGAGCATCCTGGTAAAGATGCGAAAGCGCTCTGTCACCGCCCTGCTGGTGCTGAACTTGGCCCTGGCTGACCTGGCCGTCTTGCTCACTGCCCCCTTTTTCCTCCACTCCGTGGCCCGAGGCACCTGGATTTTTGGAGTGGCTGGCTGCCGCCTGTTCCACTATGTCTGCGGAGTCAGCATGTACGCCAGCGTCCTGCTGATCACGGCCATGAGTCTGGACCGCTCGCTGGCGGTGGCCCGCCCCTTTGTGTCCCAGAAGCTGCGCACCAAGGCGGTTGCCAGGTGGTTGCTGGCAATCATCTGGGCGGCGTCAGTCCTCCTGGCCACGCCCGTCATCGTATACCGCACCGTGGTACAGGTCCAGAACAACAGGAGCCTGCTCTGCTTCCCGAAATACGACACGGAAAGACACCGGGCCTTCCACCTGCTCTTCGAGGCCGTCACCGGCTTCCTGCTGCCTTTCCTGGCCGTGGTGGCCAGCTACTCCGACATCGGGCGCCGGCTGCGGGCCCGGCGCTTCCGCCGCAGCCGCCGCACGGGCCGCCTGGTGGTGCTCATCATCCTGACCTTCGCGGCTTTCTGGCTGCCCTACCACATGGTGAACCTGGCCGAGGCCGGCCGCGCGCTGGCGGGCAAGGCCGCGGGGACGGGGCCCGTGGGGCAGCGGCTGCACCTGGCCCGCAATGTGCTCATCGCGCTGGCCTTCCTGAGCAGCAGCGTGAACCCCGTGCTGTACGCGTGCGCCGGGGGCGGTCTGCTGCGCTTGGCCGGCGTGGGCTTCATCGCCAAGCTGTTGGAAGGCACCGGCTCCGAGATGTCCAGTACCCGACGCGGGGGCACCCTGGGCCAGACGGCGAGGGGCGCCCCCGCCCCCAGTGAGCCTGGCCCGGCTGAGAGCCTCACTGCCTCCACCAACCCTCTCGAGTGAAGCAGGCCCGGGGGAGGGGTGGTGGTGGAAGGACACTTGCTTTCCTCCTGGCGGAATTCCCCACGCTGGCCTGACCCAATTCTGCACCTCCAGGAGAAGGCGTGTCGGGGTGGAGCGGAAGAAGAGAGAGGGGAGGGGCAAGTAGGGGCAGAGTCAGCGCCTGGGCAGCTTTGCAATTAAAACTGGTCTGAAATTGGGTTAACCCTGTGTGTGGGACATGTGTATTATGGGGGATAGGTGTCTTTCTGGGGGTCGGTCTCAATAGTGGAGAGGCACATCCTTTAGTTTCCCATGATTTTCAATTTTGAAAGGGACACGAAGACAGACATTACCCCCGTCCACCACCACTTCCCCCATTGGGACACAGGTGGCTTGCAGATCACACTTAGAACAACACAGGTTTGCAGACTCCTGAAAGAGCCGACCAGGGAAGACCACCCATGTGGACTCACCACTCCAGACTTCGATTTAGCCTACTTTCTGAGAAAATTCAGCACTGCCTGTACCCTGACAGCTAGTGATAGTTATCTTTGTTAGCATGACTCCAACTTCCTGCTTACTAACCTTCATCCTCTCAGTGGTAGGTATTCAAGGGGATTGCCTTCCTTCCCTCCAAGTCCCAAGAAGGCCTCACTTGAGAAACCAAGTCAGCGGATCTTATCTCCTAGATTTCACACCAGCATTTCGCTGGTCCCCAAAACACACTCTGGCACAGGGTGGGGCTGAGGGTACTCTGTGACTGTGGTCACCCTCAGGAAATGAAGATGCCCCAAAATGAAAGGGATGCGTCATTCTTTTCTAGGGATAAATGTTGTCTTAGAGCCCCTATTCTGATAACATTTTAGGAAGATGGTAGCAGCAGTGGTAGTGGTGTACTTTTTTAATCTTTCCCATAACCCCCTCCTCCACCCACACACACACAAAAGAAAGAGCAATTAGGAAAAATATAAAAAATCCATGTGCAACATCTGCAACAAAGCCTCATGGACCCCAAAATATGAGCAGTTGGGAATGAACCATCGATGCTTCAAGACCCACATAATATCAGCAGAAAGGAGCAAGGGGGCATCTAAGGGGCCTGAGAACAGGAGAACCCCAAACTGTCTACAAATCCTCACTGGAAAGCATCGTGGGTTAATTTTAGAACAGCAGCTGACATTGGGAGAGACCTAATAGATTATTTCCAAGTCCTCTAATCCATGCTGCATAGTAAGCACATCATAAAAAGTGTCTGTTTAGTGTTGAATAAAGGTCAAATGACATTTTCCCTGGAGATTCCTTCCAATATTTGTGGGTGGAGAGCAGGAAAAGACAAATCCTTGTGTTGAGTGATGTGGCTAAAATTCTTCATACTTCCAAGGTTTACAAAATACTGGAATCAGGTTGGCAGGCAGGCAGGCAGAGAGGCTGAGGCAGTTCTCTTCCCGAACTTGTGAAAACAAACACACCCTCCATACATTCATGCTCATGCTTGCACACACACAAACACTCACTTCGGCCTGGGAAAAAGCAGCCCTGCTGAGAAGTAAGAAGGTGATCCCAGAAGCCATATCAGCAGCTTCTGGCATAAATTGGCTCCAGTCATACCAGTCTCTTTATCGAGGACTTTTGAGGTGAAGAGTAGGGAGTGGGGTCTCAGCCTAGGGCAGCTGAGGGAGGTCCAACTCTTATCAAATCTGTGTTGAGGAAGTAGGTACACAGCTGCCCTTTGCCTTTGACCTTGATAACACCCCTGCTGTAGCAGGTGTAGCCTAAGGACTGCAGGGCCCGGGCTGTCTCCTCAGTCACCTGCAATTGGAGGAAGATGAGGGAGTATGGAGATGGTCCCAACCTTAACCACTGCCCCCATGACTCCAATGTGGCTTCCTCACTTGTATCTTGCCCAGGACTCCTGTACTCTCCATGCGACTGGCCACATTCACTGTATTGCCCCAGATGTCATATTGTGGTTTCTGGGCTCCTATCACTCCGGCCACTACAGGTCCATGGTTTAGCCCTGACAAGAGAAAGGATGGGGGAGATATGGGGAGGGATAGGGGAGGGAGTGGGAGCGCCTCATAGCTCCTGGCCCAGCAGCTTCATGCTCCATCTCAAAAGGTGAGTCTGGAGGGAGGTCCAGGGCTGACCTGGAAAGCAGTTTACCAAAAATTTGGGGGAGGGAGAGCTTGGGAAGATGTGGAGGAGGTCCCAGACTGACCAGCAAGGGAAGGCCCTTACCCACACGCAAGCGGAAGTTGTTGAATGAATGCTTGTTGATAACGTCCAGCTTAGACCCAAGGGCCACTGCAAATTCCACCATGGTGCCGAGGTGGCTGCAGCTTCGCTCAGCATCCTGGCAATGGGATGGTCACCAGAATGAGCCAATGAGAGCCCAGGATTAAGGCCCATTCACAGACCCACCAATAAGAGCACAGGTGAGGGATGGTAAGTAAGTAAGGAATGCTGTACCTGCTGTGCATCCTGTCCAGAGGTGGCATTTAAGCCTGTAGCTGCCATGTAGGTGCTGCCGATGGTTTTGATCTTCTCCACCCCACTGAACTTGGGCTTAGAGAGCAGCTGTATAGAGAGGAGGCTGTGTCCCCATTCTCTCTTGCTTTCCCACTCCTCTCTCCCCAAAGCCCAGCCCCAGGCTAAAGGACCGGTTATGGGTTTAGGAATGGTGGCAGGAGGCAGAGTGAACAGAGTTGCTGGAGAAGGCAGAGCTGAGGCATCAGAGGAGGAGTGGGAAGGCTAGAGAGGGCAGAAGGGCTTATGGCCAGAAGAGCAAAGTAGAAGGATGGACTGGTAGGACATTCTAGAACTCTGGACATAGGATCTGGGGAACCCTCAGAGTTGTCACCTCATCAAAATCAGCAATGATCTCATTGAGCAGCCGCAGACACTCTAGCCCCTCGTGGTTGATGTTGGATTCAGAGTAAAACTCCTTGAAGTCTGGGACTGAGGCGAAGAGGACACAGACACACTCATAGGACTGGTGGTAGAGGTCCTGGGAGGGTGAGAGGCTGGGGTGAGGCTGTAGGCCACATTCTTCCCCTTCCTGTCCTGGTATCCCCATGCCTTCCCCTCTGTGTAAGAAGGATTGGGGAGGAGGGGAAGGAGGAAAGCCAGGTTATCCTAGGGAAGTCACTTCTAGAACTGGGATCATGCCAATGGGAATTATCTTTATATCCTTTCTATTGCTGAAAGTTGTTAAGTAAGTTAAATCAGCTTATAAAGATCTATAATTTGCAAAATCACATAAATAAATAATAGGGAAAATGAGGCCAAGAGAAAATAAGGGTAAGATTGTAAAGATGGAGTCAGATCTGAGGTTGGTTCACTATATGGGTGCCATTTTAGTTCTATATTCTGGCTTTTGAGCTTTCTAGAGCCAATATGAACACAGAAACAGGATCAGTTATAAGATACCCAGAGCCTATAACAGAAGAAACCAGAAGTAGAGCTACTTCTGATCTTGAGAGCAGAGAGCAGGTGGTGGGGATGTAAGGCTGTGAAATAGTCCCTGAACTGTTTCTTTCAACACCCCTTGATATAGCCAAGAGCATTTCCATAGCACAGGATGGGATGGTGGTGCTACAAAGAAGGTGGTACAAATATGTGGGTAACCTTCTGATGGTCTGACTGTAGAAAGATATTTGAGGATCTAGAGCAGCATCATCCAATAGGAATTTCTGTGGTGATGGAAATGTTCTGTGTATGTGTTGTCCAATATGGTGGCCACTAGCCACATGCAGCTGTTGAATACATGAAATAAGACCAGTGTGACTGAGGAACTGAATTTTCTCCCTCTTTTTCTCCTTCTCTCTTTTTTAAGATACAGGTTTACTTACAAGACCTGAAAATTATACAGCACGCCTGAGGCCACACAGCAAGGTCATGGGGAGAGAGAGAGAGAGAGAGAGAGAGAGAGAGAGAGAGAGCCCATGGACCTGGGCCTGGTATTCTGCTTTCAATTGGGGTTAAGAGTGGGAGCCTGGGGTTTCTCAGGTCCACTTTTTAAAAAATTTGTCAATTACAGTTGACATTCAATATTATTTTATACTAGAGGCCTGGTGCATGGGTTCAATCCCTCCCAACTGCCAAACATCAGTTTGTTCTTTACCAGTATATCTATGAGTCTATTTCTGTTTTGCCATTTATTTTCTTCTTTAGATTCTACACATAAGTGAAATCATATGATATTTGTCTTTCTCTGTCTAACTTATTTCACTTAGCATAATATCCTCTAGGTCCATCCCATGTTGTTGCATTAATTTTCCATTTAGTTAACTTAAATTTAAAAGGTCACACATGGCTAATGGCTACCATACTGGATAGTGCAGGCCTAGAGAGATGGGTGGACTGTGTCCTCCACACAACTCTCATCAACACTTGACAAAGCTTCTGAAGGTATGGTGTGGTCATGAGTTGGAGAAGACACTCTTTCTAAGAACTTGGAATGCAGAGCCTTTTTGCTCACCAAGAACAGAGCCTAAGATCTTGTGAAAATGGGAGGTATCTGACAGGGATATGGAGGGGCTTGTGGGGCTGCCTGACCCACTCTGGGGGAGTCCAGAGAGGCTGGACTAAGGGCCAAGACTTTCATCTGAAATTAGTCCCTATGGTATCTGAGACTCAGGAGTCAGGGGTAGGGAGTCACCTCATTGCGCCGGTTCTGGCCAATAAACTGGGGGGCCACGTGTGCAGGCAGCACGTTCTCCAAGAGCAGCCGAGTCAGATTCTCCATTGTCTCTGTTTCCTCCCGCTCCTGCCTCAGCTTCTTCTTCCATAGGAAATCCAGGCGGCAATAATATTCATTCTGGGAGGGTCACCGGGAGCCATGGGGAGACACAGTGCAGGAGAAACCCCATATTCTGAGTGTTCACCACCCCCCACCCCCCACCCCTGTCCCCGGACTCCATGATGCCTAAAACTACCCCACCCACAGTTTAAATACCTTTTTATTGATTTCAGAGGAAGGGAAGAGGGAGAGAGAGATAGAAACATCAATGATGAGAATCCCATTGATTGGCTGCCTCCTGCACACACCCTGCTGGGGATTGAGCAGGCAACCCTGGGCATGTGCCCTGACTGGAATCCAACCGTGGTCTACGGGTTCATAGGTCAATGCTCAACCACTGAGCCATGCCAACCAGGCCCACCCCACAGTTTAGAGATAAGGCTTAACATGAAATTAGCCCTGGGGAGACTACCTTGAAACTA